CCAGCCGCCCTCCCGCCGCCTGCCGCCCGGGAAGCAGTGACAACTCCTTCGAGCCTCGAATGGCGAGGCCCTGCCTGGAACGCCTCAAACCGGGAGGGACGGAGAAACGTGCACCTCTCATGCCCCTTTTGGGGGGACCCCAGGGGGCCCATGTCTAGTGCCCCTGTACCAAGGCCCCGCTGACCGCGATGTTGGTCAACGGCGAGGCGCAGAACAAGTTGTAGGAAATCGCGAACCACACTTTCCTACATGCCAGATGTGCGAATGCATCGAGCGAGAACGACGCAGCGAAGCGTAGGAAAGCACGAGCCACGATGTCCTACAATTGGCTTGGCCACGAACCAGTCCCACCCACAATGCCGAAACCTACATCGCCGTTACCTAAATTTTCGTTTGCGCGTCTACGGCTTTAGGTCGCAAAAACCTGAGATCCGACGTCGCCAAAAAGTTGCAACATCGCAACACAAATCACGCCAGGAGCCCCGGACTGCATCTCTCTGCGCCACTGTTCGAGCCGCACCGCTCTATGAGGGCCCCTGGGCACGACACGGAGCGAAAACCCCTGCTGTGAAAAAAATGCAACGCCAGGATCTCAGGGGCATGTGGCCTCCTCCCTGAACGAAGACAGGATGAGGGCAGCTTCGGAGAGGGACGAACCGGAGGGACGAGGAGGAGGGAGGAGGAGGAAGAGGAGGAGGAGGAGGTGGAGGAGGGGGTGGAGGAGGGGGATGAGGGAGGAGAGGAGGAGGAGGAGAAGGAGGAGGAGGAGGAGGAGGAGGAGGAGGAGGAGTAGGAGAAAGGAGGAGGAGGAGAAGGAGGAGGAGGAGGGGAAGGGGGAATAGGAGGAGAGGGATGAGCTGGGAATCCCTGCGAGCTGGCGGTTTTCTCGCCCCCCCCCCACATTGCATGTCGCCCCCCCCTGTTATACGCAGCGCCCGAGCCTCGGCGTGCGGTGGGTCCTCCGGGCGCGACCTGCTGGCCGGGGGCCGCCGCATGGTGGAGGGGCAACGCCAGACCAGGCGTGAGGTTTCCGGGCGTCTCCGTTACGTTCCCTGAGATCCTGGTGTTGCAATGTTTGAGAGAGCGTGATCCACCGCCGCTTTACTGTGGAAAATTGCCAACCTTTTCCTCCGGAGCCCGGGGGTCTCCCCCCCCCCTCCGAAAATCCCCCCCCTGCCGGAACCCCCTCCCCCCCCCCCCCCCCCCCCTCCCCTAACCCCCCCCCCCACCCCCCCTCGAAAACCGGGGGGGGTACTACCGGTTCGAACCCTCCCCCCCCCCCCCCTCCGGATCCGGAAAACCGGGGGGGGTCACTACCGGTTGAACCCCCCCCCCCCCCCCCCCTCGAAAACCGGAGGGGGGTCACTACCGGTTCGACCCCCCCCCCACGCACCGCCAGCAAACGACTCCCGGTCCCTACCACCGCTCGCATCACATCCCCCACTGTTGTTCCCAGCACCACTGTCCTCACCACCACTGTCCCCACTGGTTCCACCACCGTCCCTATTGTCCCCACCAATGCCCCCACCACTGTCGCACTGTCCCCACTGTTCCCACAACTGTTCCCACCACGGTTCCACTCTCCCCACTGTCTCCACGGACCCAACCACTGCCTATCCCCACTGTCCCCACTGTCCCACTGACTCCTCTGCTGTCCCACTGAGCTGTCCCACTGTCCCCACCACTGTCCCCACTGTCCCCACCACTGTCCCCACTGTACCTCTGTCCCATTGACCCACCGCCGTCCTCGCCGCCGCCTTTACCAGTGTCCCCACCACCATTGTACCCTCCACTGTCCCAATGTTTCCACATCATTCCCACTGTCCCCACACCACTGTCCCCACCACCACCGTTCCCACCACTGTCCACTGTCCCCCCTGTTCCCACCATTGTCCCCACCACTGTCCCCACCACTACCGTCCCCACCACTGTCCCACTGTCCCCCCACTGTCCCCACCACTGTCCCGCTGTCCCCTCACCACTGTCCCCACCAACACCGTCCCCACCACTGTCCGCACCCCCACTCGGTTTTCGAGGGGGGGGGGGCGGGTTCGAACCGGTAGTGACCCCCCCCCCTTTTCATGATGAGCTGGGGGGGGGGGGGAGGGGTTCGAACCGGTAGTGACCCCCCCCGGTTTTCCGGAGGGGGGGGGGAGGGGTTCGAACCGGTAGTGACCCCCCCCGGTTTTCCGCCAGCAGCGGTAGAACACGCTCTTTCCAATGTTTTGACAACGGGGGTTAAGTTTAGCTCATTTTAGCTCAATTTCGGGACCGGGGACCCTGACAGCTCGATCCGGTTCGAAAAATGACGCAGAAAGATGCGGTCTGGGGCTCTGGGCGTGATTTTTTGCGGTGTTGCATTTGTTTTGCAACACCAGATCTCAGGATTAAGGACCACATCCCAGAAGTAATTTCGAGCACCCCGAAGAGTATCGACACCGTGTCGAAGGAGCATCGCCTCCCAAGGCCCGACGCGTGAAAACCCTCCAGCTTGGGTCCTCTCTCAGTGCTCGAAACCCAGACATGCGACGTCCTGATGTTTTCAAGACGGCGTCCCTGGAAGTCCAGACCCTTTCCCCGGGGGCCGGTTTTTCATCCTGAGCCGTTTTTTGACGGTCCCGAGCCCCGGCGAGGGCTCCCAGGGGCCGAAAATTAGAAAAAACAAGAGAAACCTCCCGCCCTGATTTTTTGCATGACGTGATCATGTCTGGGAACTCTTCCTGGCGATCCAGGCCAAAGCAGGTCGGCACCTCAGAGGTCTCCGTCCGTTCTCGGCGGTGGCCCCGCCAGCCTCCCCAGACCCTCCTCGCGGCACGGCAACATCGCGGCGAGAGGCTTTCCGCTTCATCCTCGGCCTCCGGGGGCCCTCACCGGGCCCGGCAGGGCCTGCTGGGCCTCGTTGGGCGCTGCCCCAGTGGGCGGCGGTACAGGTTTGGCCTCGGCCCTCGACTCCCCAGACCCCCTCGAGGCATGGTAAAATCGCGACGAGAGGTGTTGTCGCTATTCTCGGCCTCTGGGGGCCCTTGTCGGGCCAAGGGGCCGTGAAAGAACGATCCGGGATGAAAAACCGGTCCCGGGGGAATGGGTCGAGACCTCTGCAAGGGTTGACGGCGTGAAGAAATCATGACGTCCGGGCATTGGCTCTCGAGGATCGAGGGGGGCCAAGGGGCCGTGAAAGAACGATCCAGAATAAAAACCAGTCTCGGGGGATGGGTCGAGACCTCTGGGGGTCGACGGCATGAAGAAATCATGCCGTTCAGGGTCAGGGTCTCGAGGATCGAGGGGGGCCCTTACCGGGCCAAGGGGCCGTGAAAGACTGGGGGGATGAAACACTGATCCCGGGGGATGGGTCGCTGGGCTCTGGGGGTCGACGGCGTGAAGAAATCATGACGTCGCGGGGGTCTGGTTCGGGGTGCGCTCCAGCGGCGCATGCGCCTCGCCGAAGGGCGTCCGGGGCTGCTCTGATCGTCCCGAGCGGCCGCCAGAGGTCCGAGCTATGACCCGAAGACCACCATGGGACCAGCTCAGGGAGGGAGACATCGAGCTTGAACCAGCGATGCATCGCCTACAGATCGGCGACAAGCCCCCGACAGCGAATCCGCACGCTCGCAGGCGGGGCGAGCTGTGGGGCTCACAGGTGGCTCTGGGCGGGTATTGGCAGGGGGGCGCGACGAAACGAAATGGGTCTGCGCGCGAGTGACACAGCCACCCTCACGCCGCGGCACGCGCGGGCGGCCAGCGCGGCACGCCACGCATCGGAAACGAGGGCGCGCTGACGCGCGACCTTACGCTTAGGTCGGGCATGTCCTCCCGCAGAGGATTTTGGACGAAAAACAGAAAATAGTCGGGAACAAAAATCCAAATCGTCAAAATTGGTCACAACATAAAAAAAGCGTCCCCGAAATTATGTTTGGTATATTTCGGAATACTCCTCATGTGTAGAGGGACAGGCCCGCTTTAACCTTACGCGGGCAGCTCACGCGCGAGTGTCCGCGCAGTCGACCACGCTTGCTGCCGTCGCAGGGGTGGCTCTGGTCGGATGTTGGCCAGCAGGGGGGCAGTACACGCGGGGTGAGGTACACTCTGTCCTGTGCATCCTCCTCCTCCTCCTCCTGCTCCTCCTCCTCCTCCTCCTCCTCCTCCTCGTCATCCGCCTCCGCCTCCGCCTCCGCCTCCTCCTCCTCCTCCTCCTCCTCCGCCTCCGCCTCCGCCTCCGCCTCCGCCTCCGCCTCCGCCATCCTCTCCTCCTCCTCCTCCTCCTCCTCCTCTCCTCCTCCTCCTCCTCCTCCTCCTCCTCCTCCTCTTGGGCCCGCGGCCCAGTTCAGGGGCCAGTGGAGCCCCTCTCGGGGCCGCTGGCCTGCCCCCCCCACCCGCGTTGCCGCCCGCCCGATCTGGCCCCGAGTGCCCCGGGGCCAGGCCCCTCTCAGGGCCACGAGGAGGAGGAGGAGGAGGAGGAGGAGGAGGAGGAGGAGGAGGAGGAGGAGGAGGAGGAGGAGGAGGAGGAGGAGCCTTTGGAGGCCAGCCCGGGGTCGGGGGAAGCGAGAGGGGGCTGGGCGCCTATGGGAAGGCTCGGGACTCCATCCCGGCCTTCTGAGAAGTGTCCTGTAAGCCAGGGCGACGAGCTCTGTACATGTCCACTGCTCCCTGGCCAGGCCCATCCTGAACCCAGCAGCGATGTGTACGCCACATCCCCCTTGGCTTGGCCAGGAGGGCGTATGCACAGCTCCAGGTTTCAGGGTGGGCCTGGCCAGGGAGCAGTGGATATGTATAGATCTCCCGAAGACGCAGACACCTCCCCAGAAGGCCCGAGGGGGCTTCTGAAAAGCCCCGCCGTTATCTGAGAGGGCCTCCTCCTTGGGCGCCCGAGGTATCCGGGGTAACGAAAGCCCGAGGTATACTTGGGTTTGGATTCCGGGCGCCCGAATCATCCGGGGTAGCTCGGGCCCAGGGTAACTCGTGTTCGGCTACCCGAAAAAGCGAACCAGAATTAGCCCTGACCCGAGTTACCCCTGATGATTTTGGGGCTCTGGGCGCCGGAATCTTCCGGGGTAGCTCGGGCCCAGGGTAACTCGCGTTCGGACCCCCGCCAAACGCACCCGAGCTAGCCCTGACCCGAGCTACCCCTGATGACTTGGGGCTCTGATCTCCTGCTCGCTTTCCGCTCCCCACGTCGAGCGACAGCACGCAAGCGTGACCTGTAGGCAAGAGTGACCTTTGGCGCGCGGCCCAGGGGGCCGCGGGCATAGGCCAAATTCAGAAGCGCGCAGGGCAATGCTCGGGGGCACTTAGCCTTACATCGGGCATGCCCGTAGTCAAACCATTGTGCGCGGGCGATTGTTCTGCACTGCGTGACTATGTTTGAGCATTTCTTGACTCTGTTCTATTGTTCGTAGAAAATCCGCCTGTAGGAGGACATGCCCGACCGAAGGGTAGCTCTGTGAGCCCGCGCCTTAGGTCACTCCGGCGAAGGGTCACACTTACTCTGGATCCCTTAATAATCGCCCCCCCCCCCTAAAAAACCGGACACCCCCTTCCTTCGCGACATAATTTTCCGGACCCCCTCCCGCAGAGGGCGCCTTAATATTCCGGACCCCCCCAGCAAAATTGCGAGCGCGACGACGACGACGACGACGACGACGACGACGACGACGACGACGATACGAGAACTACGACTACGACTACGACGACGACGACGACGACAACGACAACGACAACGACAACGACGACGACGACGACGACGACGACGACGACGACGACGACGACGACGACGACGACGACGACGACGACGACGACGACGACGACTATGGGCCACCATCCTGCAACGTGTGTACTACGGGCCACCATCCTGGTGTGCCACCCTGCAGTGCGTCTACAACAGCCCCTCACTTCGCCTTGAAGGCGGGCTTCAAGGAGAACTGGGGGGCACTTAAGTGCGCAAGATGATGTTCGCGCTTGGGGTGCGACGAGGAAACCATCACCGAGATAGTCGTCATCGCCATCAGAAGTACCATCATTGCCACCGCCGCATCATATCGTGATGATGGTGATAACGACGATGATGAGGATGATGACGATGATGTTGAACATGTTTTTGATGATGATGATGCTGATGATGATGATGCTGATGATGATGTTGGTGATGATGAACATGATGATGACGATGGCGATGACGATGACGACGATGATGATGATGCTGATGATGATGATGGTTAGTACTCCGCGGGCTAGTACCCAAAAGGCGCCCTAATAAACCGGACCCCCCTGAACGTCGGCTTCAAGAAACGCCTTAATAAACCGGACCCCCCTGCTTCCCCAAAAGGCACCTTAATAAACCGGACCCGGGGGACGATTATTAAGGGATCCGGAGTACACGTCAGTCGGAAGAAGTACGTAGGCAAACACATGGAGTAAGAAGGCGGATTAACCAGATTGGGTTCAGGTCCGAAAACCACAAAGCACAGCAAAAGCGGATCGGCTCTTGAAGCAGGAAGGTGCTCGAGGTAGATTGGAGCCTGGGAGTGTGAAAACAGACCTACTTTCAACGGCCGGCGTGTGCGCCTGGTTGAGCCCACTGCCCGCCCCCCCGTCGCCGCCCGCGCGGTCTGGCCCAGGGTGCCCCCCCCCGAGCCAAAGGAGGAGGAGGAGGAGGAGGAGGAGGAGGAGGAGCGCCTTGGGGCGCCTGGTCTGTCGCCGTGTGCTGTCTGCCCCCGGGAGGCCCCGCGGCGTGGGCCCTCGGGCCGTGGTGCCGCGAGAGCTGCTCGGGGGCGGAGCAGCAGTGGCCCAGGGAGGGGGGCGAGAGCTCCAGGGGCTCAGGCATCGGAGGAGGAGGAGGAGGAGGGGAAGTCGAGGAGGAGGTCGAAGAGGAGGTCGTGGAGGAGGTCGAGGTCGAGGAGGAGGTCGAGGAGGACGATGCGGAGGAGGAGGAGGTCGAGGTCGAGAAAGAGGAGGTCGAGGAGGAGGAGGAGGAGGAGGAGGAGGTGGAGAGCGGCGAGGCGAGAAGCGGTAGCAGCAGCTTCGCAGAACGGCGACGCCGACGCCGTCGTCGGCGCCGACGCCGAGGCCGACGCTGGCGCCAGCGCTGGAAAGAGGTCGCGAGGTTCAGGCGCCCCAGATGTCTGGGCCCCCAGCTCCCCACCTCTGGGCCTCGCGGGGGGGGCTCTGGAGACCGCGGGGGGCCTGCTGGAAGCCGGGGGGGCAGGCCAGGGCCACCCAGAGTCGGGTGTTGCCAGGCCCAGGTTTCGGGCGCACTGCTTTTGTTCGGTCCTGGCGCTTCCCGCGAGGGCTTCTGAGAAGCCTTGCCGCCCCCCTGCCATGTCCTCCGAGGAGGCCGGACCCCCCTCGCTTCCCCTCACGGCGCGCCCCCGACGCAGGGCCCAGAGGGCTCCCGGGGACCCAGGAGTGGGGCCACCTGCCGTGGACACGCCTCGCAACCCTTGCGCGGCCCGCGACGGCGTGGAGCCCCTGGTGCGACCCCTTGTGGAGCCCCTTGCGCAACCCCTGAAGTGAAGTGCGACCCCTCGTGGAGCCGGCCCTGAAATCTCAAGGGAGGTCGCCCTGGCCCCAGGTGTCCCCCGGGACCGTGGCCTCCGGGGCACCCCTCCACAGACCCCCGACGTATGGTCCTGTCACGACGTGGACCCCCAGTGGCCTTGACCCACTCCGTGGGGCTCGCTCCTCGTCCTGGAGCCGTCGATTTTGGAAGGCCACGGGGCCCTCGGTGGGGGCCCCAAGATGCCGAGACCACAGCGACAAGCGCCCGCGTCGTGAAGCTTCTTGTGTCCGCCCTCTCCCCTCCTCCCTCTCTCCCCCTTCTCTCCCCCTGTTCCCCCTATACCTGGCGCGCCGGGCGCGGCCCATGGCAGCTTCTCAACCGCGCTCTCAGCCCACGCGTCACGCGTCCTCCATGGACGCACGGCTTCCGTACCGTACCGTGTCATGCCTTGTGCGCGGCGCCGGGGCTGTCTGGGCTCACTTCCCCCCTCGACTCGGCGCGCCGCCCGGACACTGCCCCCAGGGGCCCCATTAGAGATCCGCAGCGGCGCGGAGCAGCCCGGGACGCCGTGAGGCGCGGGCACCATTTTGGGGCAAACCCCGCGACCTGCTGCAGGCCGGCGACGCCCTGCGGGGAGGTCGTCGTCTCGTCGTCGCCGTCGTCGTCGTCGCTGTCGTCGCTGTCGTCGCTGTCGTCGCTGTCGTTGCTGTCGTCACTGTCGTCGCTGCCGTCACTGTCGTCGCTGTCGTGGGCACTGACGTGGTCACCGTCGTAATCGTTGCCACCGCGGTCATCGTTACCGCGGTGGTCGTCGTCGACGCCGATCCCCTTCTCCCTCCCCTCCTCCTCCTCCGCCTCCTCCTCGACCTCCTCCTGATGCTCCTCCTCCTCCTCCTCCTGCTCCTCCTTCGCATTTTCCTGCTCCCCACGCCTTCCTCCGCCCCCTCCCTCCCAATCCCCCGACATCCCTCCTCCTCCTCCTCCTCCTCCTCCTCCTCCTCCTCCTCCTCCTCCTACTCCTCATCCCCTTCTTATTATCATTAGTTTATTAAGTGTATGATCATTACTTGACTTCGCAGTGTTAGTATTCTTAGTGTTCGTCTTACCATTTTGTGCGCTTATTGATATTATTGTTATAGCTTGAAACGTAGTGTTCGTAGTACGCTGTTAACTCGTATGAGAATTATTATACTTCGTCTGAGTGCTATTCGTCTTCGTATTATTCTTCGTACTATTACTCATAGTAGTATTCGTTACTTTCTTCTTAATAAGTATGACGAGTGTTATTATTCGTCTGGGTATTGTTATGATTATCAATCGTATCATTAGTAGTTGCATGGTTATTAGTTTTGCTATTGCTTTCCTCTTGCTCCTCTTCCTCCTCCTCCTCTAGGGCCTGCTGCAGGCGGGGGACGCCCCGTCGTTGGACAGCCAGTCGGGGCACTGGAAGAAGACGCCCAGCTTGAGTTTGCTGGCGCCACGGGCGAGCCCCGGGATCTACCCCCCGACAATTCCCAGGAGGGAAGGAGGGGAGGGACGTGAGGAGAGAGGGAGGGAAAGATGGGTGGGAGGTGGGAGGAGGGAGGGAGGGAGGGAGGGAGGGAGGGAGGGAGGGAGGGGGGGGGAGGGAGGATAGAGGGAGGAGGGGGGAAGGAGGGAACTCGCAACAGCTCGACGCGCCGAAGTCCGTCCGAGGCGAGGGCTGTAACCGCCCTCCGCGCCGACCCCTCATGTTGCAGGACGTGCCGATGCGCGAGCAGGGGTGGGGAGACTGCCCTCCGCCCTTGGCAGGGTTTGTGGGGACCCCGACTGGTAAAACAGGGGCGGGACATTGCGATCAGAGCGTGGGTCGCTCCGTCTGCACGCCAGCACACACAGAGACGGCGGCTGTGCACACGTTCTGGTACGCGTGGCACGGCACCCTGGCAGTAGCGACGCCGCTTTGGGGCAACCCCCGCAGCGGCCCAACAAGAGGGCAGCGGAACAGTGGCCAACAGTTCACGAAGCCCGCTAGCACTGGTGTGCTAGCAACAGTTCACGAAGCCTGGAGACTGTCCCGGAGGGACGCCCGTAGGGAGGCGGCGGACCAGAAAACCTTCCGTAAGTCACCCCAGACCGCTTACGCAAAGTGGAGCCCGTCAGACATCGGAACTGACTGTTGGTAGATGTGCTGGAGAGACTGGGCGAAGTGGTTGGCTCTCTGCTGCAGCGCGTTAGTGCTACCGACGAGGCCCGATTCGCGGTGGCCGTCGGGTTGCCGTGCAGCCGCCGGGATATACTGCGTGAGGGCTTGCCTGCGGCCAGACCGCTGATTGCATGAAGATCCGTGCCCCGTGTCAGTCGTGGCGCTGGTCGGCTGCACGCAACAGTGACCCTGGGTAAGAGTGCCCTCTGGTGGTGCGCGGCCTTTTGGGGGGCCGCGGGGGGCCAGACCTGGGCGCGCAAGCCGCTGCTCCTGCCTCGTCTTCGGCCATCTGGGAGCACGTCTGTGCCCGCACCAGAGGTCACTCCGGCGAACGTTCACTCTTACGTCTAGCCTTATGTTGTTCCCATCCTACTTAAGGACCGCATCCCAGAAATAATTTCGAGCACCCAGAAGAATGTCAAAAGAGTGTCGAAACAGTGTCGGGCGAGTGTCTCCCCAGGGCCCGGCACGTGAAAACCGCAGAGTTCCGGTCCTTTTTTGGGCCGCTCGCAATTCTTCCTGGTGGTCAAGGCCAAAATTAGTTGGAGCATCATACATCTAGCCGAGCTCGACCCTCCACTGCTCTCCGCACCCCGGTGAGAAGATTCGCCGGCGTGCTGGCGGTGGGCGCCGGTGGCGGTGGCCTGGGCGGGGGGGGGCACGAGCCGCCCGGGCCTGCCCGTGGCGGGCGCCCGATGGGCGCGCGTCGTGCGGGTGGGCGTGGCGGGCTACGTGCACGTCCTCCCCGCCCCCGGAGGCGCCAAGGCCGATCGGGTCGAGCTCGGCTCCGCGGGGGTAAGCGACGCTGGGCCGAGCACGGATCACCGAGGTGGTCGAGGTGGTGAGGTCCTGTTGGGCCGCTTGGGTGGTCGGGGCCACCTGGCGAGCCTGGTGGCTCGTTCCCGCCTTGGCCCGTGGCGAGCGGGTTGTTGCGGAGTTCAGCCCCAAAGCATCCCGATCCTATGTCAGGCGAGGGGGGCCGTCTGGTGGCGTCGGTCATAGATGGCGACGGCCGTGCAGTGGATGACTGCAGCGGCTTTATGTCTTCACTTGCAAGCGTGGCGGTTGTTGAAGGCTTCCGAATTTGCGTACTACGCCCCTGGTTCATGCCTTGCTCGCCCAGGTGGCGTTCAACGGTGCTCGCCCAGGCGGCTCTGAACATGTCGGGCCTGGCCTGTAGGATCTGGTGGATCTTGAGCCAGAGGTCGGCCTGAGCACCCGCTCGCGGCGGTGAGCGATGGTTTAACAGAGAGACGGCCCTTGAATCCATCGGCCACAGCTTGGTTGTCAACGAAAGCGTGAGCTGGTCGTTCAGCCGTGTCGGCGAGGTGGAGCATGGCCAGCGTCTCGGCTCTCTGCGCGGGCAAGGCCTGCCCGTGCACCCGCGCAGAGTGGTTGAGCAGGTGGTCCGGGCCAGAGTACACTGCGAAGGCAGCCCTGGCGAAAAGCGTGAGCGCTCGGCGAACACAAGCTCCGTCGGTGGCAGCGTACATAGGCCCATCGGGCTCCGTGCTCCTCGGTGCATTCTTTGTGGGGGTCGCCGTCGGGGCCCGCTGGTGCCAGGCGCGGGATGGGCTGAGGGATCCTGTCTTCGGCTAGGGCGGCTGGAAGATCAAGGAGCTGGGGGTCCTCCTCCAGAAGGCCAGGAGGAGGAGGAGGAGGAGGAGGGAAAGGAGGAGGAGGAGGAGGAGGAGGGGAAGGAGGAGGAGGAGGAGGAGGAGGAGGAGGAGGAGGAGGAGGAGGGAGGAGGAGGAGGAGTAGAGAGAGAGAGAGGGAGAGAGAGGGGGGGAGATTTTCGTCCCGCTGGATGCGTGCTTGATGACCCCAACCGGGGGCGGGCACGAGGGGGCGTCCACGAGGGGCGGGGGCGCAGATCGTGGGCGGCAGCACGTGCGCGGCCCAAGGCGGGGGGCCGGGGACGTGCTGCCGCCCAGGATGACGGGACCCGAGGCCGAAGTCTAGGGCAAACTCCGGGATTCAAACAATGGATAGAGAAAGAGAGAGAGAGAGAGAACACAAAAAAAGAGAGAGAGAGAGAGAGAGAGAGAAAAAAAAAAAAAATGGACAGACAGACAGAGAGAGAGAGAGAGAAAGAGAGAAAAAAAAAGCAAACAAAAAGAGCCAACACGGCAGTCGGGGGGCGTAGCGCGTCCCGGGCTTCGCCCTGCGGCCATGGTCACGTCCGCGGGCGGTGCGGCCTTGCCGCACCTCCTGCAGTAGGCCGCGTCCAGAGGGAACTCGGTCCCGCACGCGCAGGTGGAGAGGTCCTGGTCTACGCCCTTGAAGGTCACCTGCGAACGGCGACGGGACTATCATCTTGCTCAGACCGGTCCCCGCCCCCAGAGATCCGATACCGTGATTTTGTCAATGCGCGGTCCCTGGAAGTCTGGACCCATTCCCCTGGACCGGTTTTTCATCCTGAGCTGTTTTTTTGACGATCCCGGGGCCCGGCGAGGGCCCCGAGAGGCCGAAAATTGCGAAAGACCTGCGTCTTGATGTTTTCAATGAGTTGGATCTCTGGGCCCAAGAGCGCGACGCGGGATGCGCAGGGAGCACCGGCGCAGTGGGGCCGGCGGCCGCGGCATGCAGCCGCCGTGGGGGCTGGCGGCCGCGGCATGATCAGTCGTCGCTCGTCGAAGGCACGGGGCAAGATGTCCGGGGGGCTCCAGCACACCCTGGGCCCGGCGGCCGCAGAATGTGGAAGGGGCCAGGGGCACACAAAGAAATACACACAGCTCCCAGGATTCCCCATAGTTCCACATGTTTTCTGGGTTCCTGTCTTTCCCCCCACCTCCCATAGTTTCCCATCTGTTCCTGGGAGCCGACGATTCATTGTGTCTGTGTGTTTCTGGCCTTCGTGAAGTATGCAGTGCGTGCGAGGCGGATCGGGAGATCTGTGTTGTGAATCTGACAACCCCAAGATGTCAGACGGGGAAGCAGGAATCTTCGGTGGCAACTCGCGGGAGCCTCCCATACCATCTTTTCGGCTCCTGCGAATCGACGCTAATCGACGCCAGTCGACGCTGATCGACACTAAATCGACGCTAGTCGGCGCTAGCCAACGCTGAATTGGCGCTCGATCGACGCTGGTCGACGCGAATCGACGCTAGAGACGGAATCCAGAAGGTATACCAGGCTCCCGTGCGCTGCTACCGACAGAATCGACTCCTCGAGGTCCTGGCGTAGCCTCTAAAAGAAAACCTGTACCATTACCTTTCGGAGGCCCGCGCGGATTTCCCGGACTGGCACTGGGCCCCCCTGGCGGAGCATCGGGGGCCGGGGAGGGGAGTCCAGCGCGGAGTCGGGAGAGCCGCGCGGAGATCCGAATGTGACTGCTTGTGCTTATTATGACGCACTGCTCACTAGCTTTAGTTTTGAGCCAGCCCGACAGAATTCGGACAAGTACTTCCGCCAACTTCTCCTGATCCTCCTCCTCATCATCATTAATGTTCATCACCAGCATCAGCAGAAACAGCATCATCAGCAGCATCATCATTAGCATCATCGTCATCGTTATTATCCTAATGATCGCCAGCATCATCATCAACATCATCATCATCACCGTAACAATCTTAACAAGTATAGCAACCATCAACAACGCCATCTACATAATCTTTTTCTCATCCCACAACAAGCATCATCATCATCGTCATCATCATCACCATCATCATCAATATCGTCATCGTCATCATCATCGTCATCATCATCATCATCACCACCATCATTATCATCATCATCATCATCGTCATCGTCATCACCATCGTCATGATTATCATCACCATCATCATCAACATCATCAACATCATCATCACCATCATCCTCATCCATATCCTGACCCTTGTCCTCACCACGGCTCTCCCACCATCGAACAGTCGCCACCCAGAGTGTCTGGGCTTGAACGGTGGCGGGACGTGCCGCAAGCAGCTGGACTCCTAACACGTCCCCATCCATGCAGGCACAGGCTCGGTGATCACTGGGAAAACCAGAAGCTACCAATGCCGCTACTCCCTGGACCTCTCCTGGAGTGCGTTCTGCCCAGAAATTCGAAGCGAATCCAGCGGTGGCAACGAGGGCCTCCCAGGAGGCCCAAAAAGGCGAAAACGAGGAAGGGTAGCGGTATGGGTACCGTTTTTGGGGTCGCGCAAACATGGATTAGCGATCCATGGATTTGGCGCGCGATCGCCAAATCTATGGATCGGGGGAGGTGCCCTCCCCGAAATGCGGAAGGTGCCGCCTCGTTCGGCATCTGAGGTCCGCGATTATCCGTGGAAACGGGACCCGTCGCTGATCCGCGCCTCCCCCCGATCCCTGCTTGCGCTCGCCTGGCTCTTCCTCTTCTGAATCACCTCGCCTTGCGCCCGGCGCCCTACGCCTGACGGCGAGGGCGGTCTCGCGCGGCGCGCACGGCGCGGGGACGAGGCGCCGCCTCGCGCGCGACCTTCCGCGGACGGCATGCATCGCGGGCGGGGAGCCCACGTGCCTCACACCTCGGGGATCTCCTGGCCCGGGTCACTCCAGACCCGGGTCAGTCGGGCCTTGCAGGATCCTGCAAGATCCTGCGCCCAAGCCCAGGTCAATGCGAGGGATCCTGCAGGATCCTGCACCCAAACCCGGGTCAATGCGACCCTGGCCGTGCAGGATCCTGCAAGATCGGGCGCCCTTGCTGACCCCCGTCTCTTGGGTCCCCCACACCCACGGCCTCGCGGAGGCCGAGCCACGGGGCCGCGGCCCCTATGGCTGCGGGGCGCTTTTTCGCGGAGGCCGCGCCTGGCATCGCGTGCATACCTCGCATGCCGCGCACGCATCAGCATCATCGGTTGCATCAGCATTATCATTATCATCATCATCATCATCATCATCATCATCATCATCATCATCATCATCATCAACATCATCATCATCATCAGCATCATCATCAGCATCATCAACATCATCAGTATCATCAGTATCAGCATCATCATCATCAGCATCATCACCAGCAGCATCAGCAGGCAACATCATCATCCTCCTCATCATCAGCAGCATCATCATCGTCACCATCATCATCATCATCATCATCATCATCGTCACCATCATCATCATCATCATCATCATCATCACCATCACCATCAGCATCATCAGCATCATCAGCATCATCAGCATCAAGGAAGTAACGTACCCATGTGCCCTCGCATCCACTATCAGACGGTACCGATGCTGCTACTTACTGCCCAGACCTCTCCCGGGGCGCGTTCTGACCAGGACCTCGGGGCGAATCCAGCGGCGGCGACGAGGACCTCCCAGGAGGACCCAAAAGGGGGACAACGGGCGGAGGGTAGCGGTGTGGGTACCTCTTCCTCCTCTGGTCCACAGGATGACGCACCGGAATCCAGACCGCGATGGCGTAGGTTCGCCGCCCGTGGCAGCAAACGCCGCCTGTCAAAGGCGGTCGTGCCCCCTCGGGCGCTCTCCTCCTCAAGGAGAGCCCGCGTGGACACTCGGCGACAACAGGACGATCGCACGGGCCCGCCGAGTGGGCATCCGGGCAGCCACACGGAAGCACCGGCATGGGACGCAAAGAGACCTCATAATGCGAGATGTCCTCCTCAAAGGCGCACGTCCAACCCGAACACAAAGTATACTTAGGTCTGGCATGCCCCCCTACAGGGGGTTTTGGATGACAAGTAAGAATTACCCACAAAAAACATTCAACAAATGTTCAAACATAACAAAACATCGTCCTCAGACTACGTTTTACTATTAGTTTTGAATTTTTCGACTGTAGAGGGGCGCGCCCGACGAAATAGTAGACCCATCTTGTAGCAGTAGTATAGTAGTAATGTCGTTCTCCGAGCGGTGCGGCCCAGAAAGCGCCCGCCACGACGCACACACACTACAAGATCTCTCTCTCTCTCTCCGTGCGCGCGTCGTCCCTGGCGGGGGGGGGCGGCGCACACACAGTATCAGGTCGGACATGTCCTCCCTACAGGCGGATTTTGCACGAAGAACAAACAATACGCAGCATCCCGCAGTTGCGGATAAGAGTGAGGGGGCGGGCGCGGGCGACGCGGGCGTCGAGCCGGCGGACCTTGTGGCCCTCACCCTCCCTGTCGATTGCGCCCTCCTCATCCTCCTACCCCTGCTCCTCCTCCTCCACCTGGAAGGAATTCAAGAACAGCCCGCCGCAGGCGCCGAAAACTTCGACTTGTACACTGAACGCGGTTTGGGTCGCAAGTTCTCCACCTGGAACAAATGCAAAAGAAACCCGCCGCAGGCGCCGAAGTTTTGGCTTGCTCCGTGAACGTAGTTTGGGTCGCGGGTGGGTCGGGGGCTCTCCACCTCCACCTGGAAGGAATTCAAAAACAGCCCGCCGCAGGCGTCGAACATGTTTATTTGTACATTGAACGCGGCTTTGGTCGCGGGTGGGTCGCACGTTCTACACCTGGAACGAATGCAAAAGAAGCCCGCCGCAGGGGCCGAAAATTTTGGGTGGGTCGCGGGTGGGTCGCGACGGGTCGCAAGTGGGTCGCGGGCGCGGTTTGGGTCGCGGGTGGGTCGCAGGTTCTCCACCTGGAACGAATGCACAAGAAACCCGCCGCAGGCGCCGAACATGCTGGGTGGGTCGCGGGGTGGGTCGCGGGGTGGGTCGCGGGTGGGTCGCGGGTGGGTCGCGGTGGGTCGCGGGTGGGTCGCGGGTGGGTCGCGGGGTGGGTCGCGGGTGGATCGCGGGTGGGTCGCGGGTGGATCGCGGGTGGGGTCGCGGGTGGGTCGCGGGGTGGGTCGCGGGTGGGTCGCGGGGTGGGTCGCGGGTGGGACGATGACAACAACAAAAAAACAACAAACAACAAACATCAAACAACAGCACCAAACAACAACAACAACAACAACAACAACAACAACAACAACAACAACAACAACAACCACAACCACAACCACAACAACAACAACAACAACATCAAAAATAATCATTTTAAGACTTTTCGCCCTTATCTGCTCGAGTGTCGAATAACGCAAATTTCCCAAACCTTCGATACCCGCCCTTTTCGTCTTCGATCGAACCCCTTTTGGGGGGTATACCTTTCTTTCCTGCAGGCCAGGCCCCGGCAAGCGGCGGGGCGGCCGCGGACCGTCGGCCTGGCAAGCGGCAGCGCTGATCGGCGGGGCGGCCGCGGACCGTCGACCCGACCCCAAATGGGGACGGACAGGGGACCGACCACGACGACGACGACGACGACGTCGACGACGACGGCAACGACGGCGACGGCGACGACGAGCGAAAGCGAGAGCGAGAGAGAACGACAGCAGGGCCACGAAGGACACGAAGTAGGCCACGAAAGGCGACAGCGGGGACACGAAGGGAATGCGTATGGGGCCACGAAGAGCGCGAACGAGCGTGGGCCACGAAGGGCAGATAATGCGGGGCCACAGAAGGCAACGATAGGGGCCACTGAGGGTAGCACCTGGGCCACGTAGGACAATGAGGGGGCCACAAACGGCGACAGCGGGGCCACGAAGGGCATGCACATGGGGCCACAACGGGCGCGAACGAGCGGGGGCCACGAAGGGCATACGTATCTTGGGCCACGGAGGGTAAGGACGGGGCCACTGAGGGCAGCAACGGGGACACGAAGGGCAGCGAGGGGCCACGAAGGGCGACAGCGGGGCCACGAAAGGCATGCATATGGGGTCACCACGGGCGCGAACGAGCGGGGGCCACGAAGGGCATACATATATGGGGCCACGAAACAAAGCGAGGGGGCCACGAAGGGCTGCAACGGGGCCACGAAGGGCAGCGAGGGGGCCACGAAGGGCTGCAACGGGGCCACGAAGGGCTGCAACGGGGCCACGAAGGGCAGCGAGGGGGCCACGAAGGGCTGCAACGGGGCCACGAAACAAAGCGAGGGGGCAACGAAGGGCTGCAACGGGGCCACGAAGGGCTGCAACGGGGCCACGAAATAAAGCGAGGGGGCCACGAAGGGCTGCAACGGGGCCACGAAACAAAGCGAGGGGGCCACGAAGGGCTGCAACGGGGCCACGAAGGGCGGTGAGATCCCGATTCCTAGGTAATCTGTGAAGGAGTCCTAAGCGTGAGCGCGACTTCTGGGTGCCTGGGTGTCGGGAGCGCGGCGCTGGAGTAAATTGCAAGAAATTCCAACGCAAGAGCGCTATTCTGCGGTGAATTGCAAGCAAGTCTCCAGCGAGAGCGCGACTCCAGAGCGCAGGAGGAGCGATTCTTGAATAAATCGTAAGGAAGTCACAAGCGAGAGCGCGATTCTTGAATAAAATGCGAGGGGATCTCGGGCGGGAGCGGGGGTCCTGGCTAAATAATGAGGAAGTCTCAGGCGGAAGCCGTTGTTGTTGTTGTTGTAACCCGGGAGCCAGGGAGCCAGTTTGAGCAGGAAGACTTTCCTTGACAAAAAAAAAACAAGGTGCGAGCCCCAGGGGGGGGGGGGCATTTCAATGGAAAAAATCAATGTGCACCGGTGGGGGGGATCAACAGTAATTATTCTTCAAGAGTGAGAGTTCAACAACAACAACAGCAACAACAACAACAACAATAATCCGCATCGCAAAATTCCACTTCAGCAACGCACCCAGGGACAGTGAATGACCGTTCGGTTCAGCCCCCTCACTCTGACGAAACAAATGCTCAAACAGATTCCAAAAATGACAGAAAGATCGTCCCCAGACGATGTCTTGACTATTCTCGGAGCACTCCTCCTGTAGAGGGACAGGCCCGACTTGAACATAGTACGAGTATGTTTGGGGGGGGCGCCGACGGCAGAACGCAGAAGAGAGGGTCGACGAGGCAGGAGGCAGGGCGACACGGCGAGGAAGAGGGTGGGGTGGCAGAGGCGAGAACACCCATCTCCGCGGCAAGGCGGTCGCGGGCCTCGGGGCCCATGTAAACCCGGGCATGGCCAACCAGGGCTTCGAATACAGCAGAAGCTCGACCACAAGAAACCTTCCACGAGAAATCCAACCTCATCCTTCTCCTCCTCCTCCTCCTCCTCCTCCTCCTCGTCCTCTTCCTCGTCCTCCTCCTCGTCCTCCTCCTCCGCCTCCTCCTCCTTCTCGGGCGCACAGACACGCCGCAGAAAGATGTGGTACGGCGTAGGCCAGTCCACAAGAAGCCTTCCACAAGGAGCCCAACCCCAAGACCCCAGGACGTCCACTGATCGTTTGTGTGGGAACGGCACGCTTTCCATCGAAAAACCATCGACACCCAAGAAACCCGGGCCACCCTGGAGGTTAGCAGGGTGCTTCTTGGCATGGGTTTCCACTGTATCCCACCTGGGGAGACCAACACATGGAAGAAGACATGGAGGAAGGCTCGACCCGATGCCCTGGTCCATCCAGCAATCCCCGCTGAAGTGGGCCCTGGACGCCTCCGACTGCCCGCGCCCCGGACGCCTTCCCGCATCTCGGGGGCGACGATTGGGGCGAATGGCTCTGGGGACGATGGGGGCGAATGCATGTATCAAGAGGCTCCGATCGTCCATGCCTGCGGCGAGGCTCCCGGGCGAATACGTATACAGTCAAGACGCTGAACTGAGGAACAGCTTGGGCTCGGAAGGGGCGCCCCGTTCCTTTTGCTCCTTCCATGGCTGTTCCCCTAGCTCCTCTCGTGCACGCAGGTGCTTCTGGGGTCCAAAGGGAGCCCCGTCCTGATGTATCGCTCCTTCTGCTAGTACCTCGACTATAATACCAAACATCCGGCCGCTCGAATTTTTTCGATGCACGGGCCCCAGAGGTCTGGACCACCTCCCGGAGGCCACTTTTTCGCCCCGAATCGCTTCTTGCCCGTCCCGCGACCCGGCGGGGGCCCCCGGGCGAGGGCCCCCCGGAGGCCGAACACCACCCAACACCGCCCGCTTCACTTTTCTGGAAGCGCCGGATCTCTGGGATGCCCGTCCCTGGGCTATTCGCCCCGATCGTCGCCTCCGAGCATCAGGGACGCTGGAGCCTCGCGCACCGTGGGCTGCGCCCCCGGCGCGGCCGACCCATGTTGTCTCTGTTCGTGAGTCGCCAGCGCCGGGGCAGGGCGGCAGCGGCGGGGGGGGGGCAGCAGCAGCAGCCACACGCCCAGGAGGAGCAGGGGCGGCAAGGGCGGGGCATGGGAGAGGAGCCGCCGCAGCAGGAGCGGCAGGAGTGGGAGAGGAGCCGCCGCAGCACGAGGGGGAGGAGGAGGAGGAAGGGGAGGAGGAAGAGGAGGGCCAGGACGAGGAGGAAGAGGAGGGGGGCCACCTTCAGCTGCCCCCTCTTGCGCTCCCTGGGCTCGTTGTCGCTGTCGTGCACAACCTCGCAGAGCTCCAGGTCGAGAAAGCTGTCGATTGTTCCCATCGCAAAGCAAGTTTCGTCCCTGTCCTGGGGGCGCTTCCTTACCATTCGCCCATTATCCTGCTCATCCTGTTCCCACTCCCCTCTCTCCTTGTCCTCCCGTCTCTCCTCTCCTTTCCCTGGCCGCCATCCCCTTCCTCACTGTCACTTAGTATCCAACGTCTTTCTACTACTCCTACACTTGCTCCTTTGGGGAACTCAATCAAAACCAAGAGATGTAATGCAACATGCGTGGTGCAACACATGCGGTACAAGCTGCGAACTGCATTATAGGGTGTGCAACAATATGATGTAGATCATGTCGTCAAATATCGATGTCTGGCATTACATGGCCGAGTCAGATGGCACAAACCAATTGAAGTAACATGCGATACGGTATGGTACACTGCCGGCGCTTACAAAAAAACATGCACGATATGGATGCAAGTGCCTGGAAGGCCATCTCGACACCGTTCGAGCAGGGCGCGACCAACGAGAAATGCCAAATATTGGCCAAACGGGAAAAATGCAAAAACAAATTTGGAAAACCGGTCATCCTTACTCTCCGCGTCGACGGCAATAAACGATGATGCAATGTACGATCGTATGGCGAGTTCAAAGATACACACTATGGACGGTAGAAAATGAATCCCCAACCATGTGTATGTTGGTATGTGCGGTGTATTTAGGGATGTCTATATACATCTGTATGTTTACCAGCGTGGTCCCAGAACCGTGTGCTTCTAGCAGTATCTGTTGTGCAATATAGGTGGAACAGTAATGGGGGTGCAGCCTGTCCAGTGCACTTAGTGTTGAAGAACTTGGAGTTGACAACACCAGCGTTTGCTCAACCATCCCACCCATGCCGCTCTGATTTTGCTGACTGGTCAGCGCTAGCTGGCGCATCGCTGCGGCCGGCCACGCTGGCGCGCGCAGGCCCGCGCGCAGAGTGGCCAGCTGGTCTGGCGCGACGGACACTGACGCGGCGGCGCTGACCGCTTTGGACATCCCACCTCGTCTCGCACGCGGCGAGTCGACGACTCGGGCGGGCGTGGTATCGTGGCGACGTCGACAACGGCAGACACGATAGTGATAGTAGTGATGTTGGTGGTGCCAGTAACGATGACGACGGCAAGGCCAATGACAGTGCCGATGCTGAACCTGCCGATGACGATGATGGTTTCCAGTCGTCGGCGAGACCGGCTTTGAAAGGATCTCGACATGCGCGCCGGCCGACGGGCATGAGTAGTCTGCATGGATATAGTTGATCGAGATCGTGCACCCGCGCAAGGGCGTTCGAATGATTTCGACGCGCGCGCGAGAAGCCTGTCTGGTTGATTTGTGTTTGAAGATGTTGACAACTGATGGATCCCCCAAGAATTCACAAAATCGCGCGCGCAGACTTTCATTGAAAACGACAAATTGTCAAACCATGCGTTTTACATCTATTCGGAGCGCTCGATCATGAAATCCGTATGAAACCTGCGGTTTGTGCAATAGTTTGGCACGCGCGCGCGCGACAACGCGCGCGCGCATGTCGTCCCATCTGTTGCAACATGTTCTTTGGAACAAATTGACTTGCGATAGACACGTGCGCGCGCAGAGTACGATCTCCCAGATGCCAAGGACGGATGGAGGCGATAGTAGTTTGGCTGGGGCGGTAAGAACTCATACCCAGAACGAGCGATGGGGCAGAGCCATGTGTAAACTGTATCTGCCCACTGTGTATCGATAGTCCTGTGGGGAGATCCGAATTCTAGGATGATCCTGAAATGACAACTCTACTGCCCGCGCAATCATCCCACCAATCCGCCCACAACCTGGTTTGCAAAACACGTGCCGCGGCGATTGCGATGACTGCTTTGCGCTGGGCGGCGCATCGCTGAGGCCACGCTAGCGCGAGCAGGCTCGCTCGCAGAGCGGCCAGCCGGACTGGCGCGACCAACGCAGCCGCCTCGGCGCTGACCGTTGGGGACTTCTCGCCGCGTTTCGCAGGCCGCGCTGACGCGTTGCTACTTCACTTCGTGTCGGTGACTCGGTCGGGCGCGGTATCATGGTGACGTCGACAGAAGCGGATACGCTGGTGATGGTAGCGGTACTGGTGACGGTGATGGTGGCGACAACGGCAAGGCCAATGACAGCGCCGATGCTGGTCACACCGACGACGATGAGGGTGTCCACGAGTCGGCGATAAAGGACGTGCATGGATTTCGGTATGGCGAGCGGCCGACAGGCGCGTGTGGCCAGCATGGGAGTCCTTGCGAAACCTAGAACGTGTCTGACTCGATGTTGACATTTGCGCGCGACGCCGCGCGCTCGTGTGTGGCAGTTGATTGGTTTTCGCCAACCGAGTCTTGAACATGTATGCTTCTGGATCAACAAATTCTCGCGCGAAATATGATGTAACAATCATGAAAAGGAGACACGAACGGCACTCCCCACGTTGACATGAAGTTGTATTTTGAACGAACAACGGGGCAAACTCGCATGTGAATTGAATTACCTCAAAGGGGGTCGCGATAATTCTGGAGGGAAAGGGAGGGGGGTGACCAGAATTGGTTTAAAATTGAAAATTGGTGTGTGCACCCAGAATCGCCAGCCAGCGAACGAAGCGCCCGCAAGGCATCTACGGGCGCCGAACAGCTGAAAACCCAAAAACGCCAGCCAACGCACAGTGCGCCCACCAGGCGCCCACCGGCACCCGCCAGGCGAATACCTGGAAATGCGAACCAACGCATGGGACGCCCACGAGGCCCAGCCAACCGCCTAAAAAGGCGAAACCCCAGAAAAGCCACCAAACCCCGCGCAAAACTAAAGCACAAGTGTTAGCCAACGCTCCCCAAAATTGTTGGGCCTTTTGCGGTGTGAAACTGCGAGCTATGCGGTGTAAGCTACGCGCTGCGAGCTACGTGATGTAATTCACCAGTGCTCAGCGTAAAAGTGACAACTCGACTGCTCGCGCAATCGTGCCACCCACCCACCCGCAACTTGGTTCGCAAAAGCCATGCAAAGGCAATTGCGATGATTGCTTGGTGTTGGCTGGTGCTTCTTTGCGGCCGCGCCAGCCCGCGCATGCACTTGCACACGCAGCGGCCAGCTAGCTTGCCGTTGCCGACGCGGCCGCGGTGGCGCTGACCGCTGGGCACATCCCAGCGGGCACTTCAATGCGAGTCGGCGACTTGGGCGGGCGCGGTATCGGGGCAACGTCCACAACGGTATAAACTGTCATGATAGTAGCGATGCTGGTGACCATGTGAACAAAAAAGACGGCACGGCCAGTCACGGCGCCGATGCTGATCACGCCGGCGATGCTGACAGCGTCCTTGCGTCGGTGGTGAAATCTTTGGAAGCGGTTCGACATGCGTGCGCGGCCGACGCGCGACAGTGGCCCGCATAACGTTATTTGACACGGACCATGCCCCCCCAGCACGCGCGCAAGGGCTTTCGAATGATTTCGGTATGCGGCATGCGAGGCCCGCTTGGCAGAACTTCATGAGAGTGCTGGGAGAAAGCGATGGTTTTCTTCAGGATTCGCGACAGCGCGAGCGCAGGCTGGTCAAAGCACTGCAGCTGTGAAGCCATTTTTTTATGGCGTCGGGACCGTAGGTTTTGAAATCCGTACGAAACCTGACGTCGATTGAAGGATTTCGCCATGCGCGCGCGACGACGCGCGTGTGTGCACTTCGTCCCGTGTTTTGCAAACGTATCCTCGCGACAGCACGCGCGCAAGGGTGTTTGAAGGGTTTCGGCACGCGCGCGCGCGCCAACTCCGTTTTGGTAGCAGTTTATGAGCAGGTTGAAAACCCGATGGTATTCTGAAGAACTTGCAAGAGCGCGAACGCAAGTTTCTGTTAAAAACGTAATTGATGCAAAGCAATATGCTTCCACGTGCGTTGAACACTCGGTTTTGGTAACTGTTCGGAAGCAGTGGTTTTTGTTTTAACGATTTCGGCATGCGCGCACGACGGCGCGCGCGCATGCACTTCGCCGGATGTGTGACAAATTCTTGACAACTTATGAGTGTTGATAGACGACCGCGCGCACAACATGTGCTGCAGAATATGAGGTTGAGGCCAATACCCGTCTATCTGATACGATTCGAATTCATTTTCAGGATGGACGATGGGGCAGAGAATACGAAAAGGGGGCGGCTAACCCTGGGCGGGTGGGCGGAATCTAACCCAATACATCGTCGTTCCGAAAGTTTATTCCGATTCGAGAAGCACGGCGCCGCGCGAGTGCAGAGCAAACGCTATGCTGGAAGAGCGCGGCAGATGCGTGCCTCCTGGACAGGCGCGAGCAGCCGCGCCCCCGTGCGAACCCCGATCCTGCGCGGGGCGCGCTCCCGATAACAATGGCTCGCCCGGGAAACCGTGCAGGAAGTCCTGAACGGTCTGCCGATCGGCGGCTCCTTCGGACGAGGCCCGGAACCACCGAGAAACTGTTTGCCATAGGATGTTCTAAGCGTTTTGCCCATGTTCGTCATCTTCGGAGTGAACCTGAAGACCTCGAGAACTATGTTTGTTGCTGGAAATCCTAGGAAGTTCGCCCCTGTTCGGGTCGTTTGAAGTGGACCCGAAATTTTGTTCGGCACAAGTCCCATTGATTTGGCCACTTTCAGGTCGGCCGATAAGTTTTTCGGGTTGTCGTATGACCGAACCCGAAAAATTCTGCTCGAGGAAGTCAGATGCTGTTTGCTCATTTTCGGGTCAATACACCGTTTGGGATTTAAACTTTTCAATTGGGAAAGGGGAGCCCGATCCCGCGACCCCGGGCAGGGGTCAGGCTCTGCCCTTGCATTGTACTGGGCCCCTCCGGCCAAACGGGGTGCTGGGCTGCCCATCGGCGCGCCGACTCTGCCCTCGCGACATCGCCCCCATCCGCCCTCGGGCCCCGCGAGTCTTATCCTGCGCGCGCCTACCCCAGTGGCCCCAGCGAGCACGGTGGCGAAATTGGGGAAACATTCGGATCGGCGCAGTATATATATATATATGTGTCTAGTAGCAATGTGGTGTAAACGACGC